CGTAGGTGACGTTGAGGCTGTAGGTGCCCGGCTCATACGGCACGTACTCCACGGAGCAGCTCCCGTCCTTGTTGTCAGTGCACGACATCTTGGCCTCCGAGGGCCCCTCCACGGCCAGGCCCAGGCCCCCAGTGCCAGCGCCCCTGGGGAAAGGGGGTGGGAGCGGGGGGTCAGGGCAGGCACCCCCAAACCTACCCAGCCCCTAAGGACGGGGGGGGAGGCCAACAGTGCCAGGAGAGGGGATTTAAGGGCTTGGGAAAAAGGATTTAGCATGCAGGGAAGTTTTAGGGGCACTAGAAGGAAAAAGAGTGAGGGTACAAAGGGATATCTGGGGTGCCAAAGGAAAAATTAGGGTTCAGGGATGTTTTAGGGGATGGCAGGAAAAGTATTAAGCTATGAAGGAGCATTTGGGGTTAGTAAGGGCAGGTTTGGGGTGCCCAGGGGGATTTCAGGGACACAGGAGGAAAGGTTTGGGGTGCAGGGGAGTCTAGATACATCAGGAGGACGGTTCAGGATGGTCGGGGGGGTGTTTTGCCATACAGGGAAAAGGGTTTAAGGTGCAGGGATGTTTAGGTGTCTGCTAGGTGCTTTGGGGCGCACCAGGGGGATTTTGGGGGCCTCACCGGGTCTCCACAGTGAACTTGTTGGGCTTGTTGGTGGTGCCGCTCTGGATGCCGGGGCCGTGGACACGGACACGGGCTGGGTCGCAGCCCTCGGTGACAGGCACCCGGAAGGGGCTGTGGGGCACAGGGCTGCCGGCGTAGCTCACCTCCACCGTGTGCATGCCTGGGGGACGGGGGCGTCACACTGAGGCCACGCCACCGCGTGTCCCCCACTACTGAAGCAGCTGGGCACGCACGGAGGAGGAAGCGTCCTCGTGTCCCTCCCCATGTGTCTCACCCTCCTCGTACGGCGTGTACTCCACGTGGTAGGTGCCGTCCCCGCGGTCCTCCACGAAGGTCTCGGTGACGTTCCCCGAGGGGTTCGACACGCGCGTCTTCACGTGGGGACCCCCGGCCTCTCACCCTCCTCGTACGGCGTGTACTCCACGTGGTAGGTGCCGTCCCCGCGGTCCTCCACGAAGGTCTCGGTGACGTTCCCCGAGGGGTTCGACACGCGCGTCTTCACGTGGGGACCCCCGGCCTTGGTGAGGGCCCGGGCGTCCACGTCAAACTCCGTCACCGCCTCCCTGAACACGCCT